ACAGCTGTTCAAACAGTGCAAAGACCTCTTATTTAGGCTCTGCGGCTGCTTCAACAGTGCAAGAACCTTTTAGTTAGGCTCTACGGCTGCTTTGGCATTGCAAGGACCTGTTAGTTAGGCTCCATGGCTGCTTTAGCAGTGCAAGGACCTTATAATCGAGCTTCACGGCTGCATTGGCAGTCAAGAACCTGTGCAGTACATATTTAAGATGTTTGAAATACCCGATTTTCTTTTTTTTGCTATAAAAGCTTATGATAATTATGGACTAAACATTTAGATTTTATAATATATGTTTAGAGTAATAGGCTTTAGATTACATGTTTTCTTAGTAGATTAAATAGTACAGTAGTGATTGGGATGACAGACACGTTTAGATTTTCTATACTGAATGACCAGCGTAGCGAGTTTGTGGTTATGCATTTTCTTAGTCCAATTATATGGTACAGTAGGGTTTTGAGATAGCGGACCTATTCCCATATGTTTTTTTCATCTAATTAGTAATAAAGATAAGTCTCTGATCAAGCAATAATAAATAAAAATCATGCACATGTTATGCACATGTTATGCACATTGCCCATTACTAGTTATATAACAAAAGTTTTCATATTTGACAATGCTAACATTAATTAATTTGTCTTTTTATATATAGTAAACATTGAAACCATATAACCTACTTTGAAAACCAGCTAATAGATCAATTTAATGTTCAGTCCTAGACTATGGTCCAGTTCATGGTCCTTTGGCCTGTTACTTTCCATTTGTTCATTTTTATATTACTTTTTTATTATATAGATAGTACCTTTTTATAAAATATAATTGGTCAATGCTTTGAAATGATAACGTCACAAATTCAAGTATAGATACGATATATTCGAGAATTTATTCAAACTGTATATAATATTTTATTAATATTGATATTGCTAACTTTATTTAAATTCTCATCATGGCTTTCAAAAATTCAGACTGCAATACTCTAAATTATGATTACAAAAATGATTACAGTTTTAAATAAACATCTAGAATCTTTTGAATGTGAGAGAATTATATTAGCATTACATACTTATAATATATATATATATAGTACATATATATATAATAAATCCTGTAATATGTATGCTTATAAAATATGGAATCAAGATATACTCTGTTTATGGTATAATATTATAGTATGATAAATTTAGGTAATGATCATTAGGCATGTTAAATTGCAAATCCAGTTCAGTCCGATCCTAGGATCTAAAAAGACAGTACTAAACTCGATCCTTTAAATAACAATACATTTTATAGGACTTAATTGAATCTATCAAATGAGTTCATCCAATCAAATTAATTTTGTATTGTTATAATGATTCAATTCAGGATCCAAGTCCTATAAAATGCATTGTGTTTTCATGTGATTTAAGGACTGAGTCCTTACCGATTCTGCAGGCCCTTGTAAGGATTTGGTCCCAAAAGACTGATTAACATCCCTAATGGTCATCATAACAAATGTATGCATGTATTCGCCAACTTCACATAACTTGCTACTAGACCATACAGTTCGTATTTTATACTCTGTTCCTGGTATAAATAAGTTTAAGTTAATGAGTGTTTACACTTGAATAATGATAAAGATTTCCACTATAAGTGGATTCGAAATTTTGTAGTATAAGTTCATGACTTTAATGTGAATGTTCGTTTCAGCAGTACAGTTCGTGAATTTGACGAGATGTGTCATGATTTAATAGTGGGTGAAGAATATACAAGATGTGACAATTATGATCTTGTTGACCAATCGGGTAATAGATTTTGGGTTCACACCATTTTTCTTTCTTCTGTAAGCTATAAACTTCATGATTTTCATCACTGGTATTTTGCGATTTTCATCACTCCATTCCTGATATTTCCATTATACATTGTGATATACCAGCACTATATAATACATCAAGCTCCTTTTAAGTAACTCAAGCGCCTAGTTGGAATGTGAAAAATAAGCAATGCATAACAATATGTGATGAATAGAGTCACACAGACCAATCAAGTGCTGAAAATTGCACAGACACATTAACTTGCTTGTAAACCATACACTAATGGGGTTTACGATATACTAATTAATCAAATCTATGTAAAGTATTGTAATGCATAAAGCTTAGTAGTGTTGATTTTATGCATAGATTGGCAAAATCATTAAATTTATTAGCGAAGACTAGTTTTCAAAAAATTGTTTTATCTCACATCAAACAATTAGTTTAATATAATAAAACAAAGCTATAGAATAATATGTTTAATTAAATTAGTAAAAACTTTTGTGATATTGTTAAAACTAAAAAAATAATTGACTTTATTAAAAAAAAATTATAAATAAAGATTTTATTCTATAGCTTTTTTAATTATATTAAAAGCAATCATTTAATATGTAAATGCCTTGAAAATAATAAATGATACTGAGGTGAAGCAATTTTTGAAAATTAGTCTGTAATTTTGCATAAAATTGGTACTACTAACTTTTATTGCATAGATTTAATTTATTAGTATATATAAGTCCCAATACACTACGTACTTTATTCCTGGTAAATGTTTGGAAAAAGATTTCTATTAGCCATGTTTTGAAAAATGTTTTTTTTTATTAGTTAATAGCTTTTAATTCAAGTTATCTTTATAAAAAAGTAACCAAAATAAACAAAATTATGTGAGCATGCACAATTGTTCACACCAATGCCAAGAAAAATTGTTAAAATTCTTGATTATATGCAGGTTAGAAGTCATATAATAAACTCCCAAAATACAAAAGTAAACTTGATTATATATGCGAAATCAAGCCACTAGGAACAGCTTTATTAACTACTTTATATAATTGCAAATACATATATTTCTTTGCAAAATGACAGGTTAAATTAGTTTTACTATCTAATTTAGAGATGAAAAACAAATACAACTAATTTATTTTCATTCTGATATTGTTAATTTCTATATTATACTATTGTGAAATCTATAATCAAGCAGAAGTCATTAGTAATATGAAATGCAAAGCAATTAATTAAAGAAATATTTACAATAGAATGCATCATTATTTTCTCAACATCAGTAACATACTTATATTATTATTCCACCAACATGCAATCATCCTAATTTTTGTAAAGTTGAAGTCATGCCAAATGTATATGACTCGAAGACCCTTTTGTAGTTGAGAATTGGTTGGCCAGCAAGGATATGAAATGGCATTTTCTTTACAGGTGAAATGGACAACCCATGTTTCATCTGCAGGTAATTTCTTATCATACAGAAGTGCATGTTGATAATGTTCCTTGAGCCCTTGTTTTGTTGCTATAGCTAAAAGTTTGAGAACAATGATCAAATAATCAGGTCGTGATATGACTATGTTGATATATTTATTATTAATATGCCCACTATCACAATATTTTAGGTGCCATTGTCCCATTATTGTAAATCTACTAAGCCAATTAGACATTATCCAGTAAAGTTATGCATCATAAACCGATTCCCTAGGAACTTCTCTATTATTTGCATTATTAACAGACACATGTGCTATTTCAAAGAGTTGTTAGACTATATTGTTTCTTGATCAAATACACGAACAACTTGCATCAAGACCTTAAAAATATCTAAAGCACTTGTTGAAGGATGATAGGGAACATCTACTTTAGAAGAAGTCAGAAATACTTTAGGGACTATTTGCTAAAGGACCAGCCAATACACCAATAGTGAAGAAATCTTAAATGTTCCTGCATCTTCTCCAGGAACCAGAACTCCTTCGGCTGTGAGGAACAATGCTAGATCCTTTTTGTTTTTAGCAACATGTATAGGGTGATTATTAACTAAGAAATCAGTTTGAATGAGCTTCACAGCACGCCTAGTATTGGTATCACCTCTCAGCAGAGACTCCTTCATTTTTATAAACGTTGAGTACTCTAAAACCTCATTTCTTAGTGAGAAGTTGGCAAAATGTTGTCATATGTCATAACTCAAATGATTTCCCTCCAAAAGTAGCTTTCTATAAATCTCACATTCACAAAGGCAGACAAGACCAGCATGTCTGTTGAAAGAATATAGTAGCAAGAAAATTAAGACTTAATAAAAATAATAT